AGGTGGTGGCAACTCCAGTAAATTTTATCATGAGTCTATTTCGTTAGAAGTCAAGAGCAAAAATCAATTTCTTCTTAGTGTTGAGTGTGCCATTTTTAACAGGCAGATCTACTTTTTCCCTTGATGAACAATCTGCCACCTTTCTATTTTTTGCTCCCATTGGCATCAGACAGCATGAACTGCTCTTCTCACCAGCACAGAGGTGTTCAGCTCAGTGCTGCGCCTCCTGTTTCATCTGGAAGGAGTATTTCCTATTTATGCTTGTCAAGATTCTTTTTTTTCCGAAGCCAGAAGGTTTTGTTTGAGAAAATCAAATCCCTTGAAAGTACTTCATAATTATCTACATGATTATCTTAAGTGTCTGCCATGGCTTTGCAGTGAGCTCAGGGGCATAGAGAAGCAACCTGCAGCATATTGATGCCTGCAGTTTTTCCTGTGCAGAGGAGGAATGGGGTTTTGAAGGCTGCCTGCCTCTGGTGGGGTGGAGCAGGTTGCTACCCTCCATCTCTGGAGGGATGTGTGTGCATGGATGAGGAGAGTCCTCCAGCAATGTTGCTAAATGAATGATGCATGAGTTTTGTGTGGGATGCAGATGCCTTTGAATGCCCCATCCTGCCCAGCTGTCTGCAGGATTGAAGCTGAAGTCAACATCAGGTTATGCCCTTGGCCGATGCAGAGATTTAGAGGCTCTGGAGCTAAACGAGCTTTCAACGTGCCCCAGATTCTCCACACTGAAGCTAGGCCAGTGCTATTTCTCTGGGGATAGGTTGCAAAGGGCAGCCTATAACATGTCCACCCAATGACAAAAATAAATAGCTAAGAGCAAAACCACGCAAAGTATTAGGCCAAAAAGGGCCTCAAAGGGTGGTTTGGTCTGATAATTTCTAGATCGTGAATGCTTTTGAACCCTATGTGGTTACTAACCCAGTAAAAACCAAAACCTGGTGTTTGCTCCTGAAGCAACAATAAGGGTGTCTTTGTCACAAGTTATGGATGTTACCCATTAGATGACCTCTCACTGTGCTCTCACTAAGACAAAAAAAGATGCTGAAGGTAGAAAAGTAAGAGGGATTAAATCGGAGAGATCTACTCCTTCCCACAGCCCAAGACAGACTGGATGTAGTCATTGTTCCTGGCAGGTATTTGTCTAACCTCCTGCAGAGACCATGATTGATGGGGACTCCAGCCATCCGTGACAGTGTCCTCCAGTGCTTTGGTATTCTTTATCCTCATTAGTGTTACCTAACCGCAAACCTACACCTTACCCCAGTGTGATTCACATCCATAACTCAACTCCGGGCAAGGGGAAAAGACTGTGGGACCTTTTCAAGTACATGAGGGCCTGTAGTTGTGTTCTCACACCCCACCTCCTTTCTCCTTTTCAGACGAGCAGGCCCTAATTTCTCAAGTATTTCCTACTAAGTCACGTTTTCTTGACTGGTAGTCATGTTAGAGCTCTGTTCCAACTGGGCAGTTCTGCTGCTGAGACCTTCCCAACCCTGCATAAGGCTGCAGAGATATTTCATGTATCTGGTAAGCTTTATCCCTCTTGACTTTTCCTGTGACAATGAGCCTTTCTCGCCCTCAACAGCCAGACTTTATTGGCAGAAATTATTCCTTAAAAACCCTCCATCTCTTCCCAAAGATTTGCCCCCTAGCCAACCTTATCTGTGATTTTTGTTTTGTAGTACACCATGCTTGTCCTTGCTGAACTTTATCCTAAGTTTTAGACTTTTATTTTTTCATTATTTTTGCCAAGATGATTTCAGATGCTAATCCTGTTCTCCAGTGTGTCTGCAGTCTCTCCCAGCTTCGTGTAATCTGCAGATTTAATAAACGTGCTCCCTCTCATCGTGCAGGTCACTAATGAATGTGCTGAGCAAAACTATACCATAGAGATCCAGCAGAGCTCAGCTCACAGTGTCCTTCTGTTTTCACAGAATATCATTAATAACTACTCCCTGGGTATGGCTTTATAGTACACTCATTTAATCATGTTCCCCCAGTTTATTTATGAGAAAGTTGTTTGAGATGGTGTCAAAAGCTATAATAAAGCCCAGATAAATGACATCTAACAGCTTCTCCATTATGAAAAGAAATTAATTTGATTTGATATGATTTTTCCTTGTCTCTTCTGTATCTGCTGCTGCTTATGTTTTTGTTATCTTCCACATGCATGCAAGCTGTCTCTTTGTTCGTTTTAGAGTTTTTCAGAGGATTGAAGATAGATTGACTGATGTCGCATCCTTGTGCTGCTTCCCTTTCTACCCTTGAAGACAGGCTCTGTGCTTGCCTTTCTCCTGGCTTCCGGCACCTTGCAGTGCCTGATGTCTGAGCTTTCACACGTGACCAAGAGATAGCTTCAGCTGCTGTTGTGGGGAATTTAGAAGGTGGTTTGTCCGACCCTGCTGTTCTGGAAATACCTGACTTGGGATAGAGGGCTGATCTCAGCCTGGAAGAGGCTGAGGAGAGGATAGTGTACCTTTGCAGTGACATTGTGTTGTAGTATTAACTGTACTAATCCACTGTGCATAGTAGGAAATTTTAACAAGGACTAAAGTGAAAATCAAACCATCATTGCCTCTTTTGGTATCTTTTTTCAATAACTTTCTCTGCATTTGAGCAACACTATACCAGCCTGTATTCTTGGTATTAATACACATTTTAAATTTTTTAATCTTCTGCAAGTTTTATTTCAGTTTTATGCCCTGACTTTTCTAATATTTCTGCCTGTGTGTTCACACTATTTTTTTCACTCCTGCTCGTAACCTTTTAGTGTTCTTTCTTCTTGCTTTGAGATAAATCAAAAGCTCGTGGTGCTGCCAAGTCTTCTGATCCTTCTTCTGCATGGAGATGTTACTGTATCTGTGCTTTTAAAGCACAAAATATTGTTTCTTCAAGAAACTACAGCTCACCTTGGTTTCTTTTTCCTTTAAACTCTTCTCCATGAATTCTTACCTAGCAGGTTTACTTGAATGTACTGAAGCCAGGCACTTGTGTTTTGCTGTCCGCAGCCCCTTGTGTATGGAAGATTTCATCATTTCACAGACATTCTTACATGATTTTCCTTCCACCTGCTTACCCCAACACATCTATCTCTGGAGGCACTTCCTTAATGATTACTTGACCTATCAGTTATGCGAGAATATTGCTCCAAAGGAACAAGGACTCTCTGTCTCCTGCTGCTTTCCTTTCCTAGCAGACATCTCATGCATGTACTCTCCCATTACCATTGAGTCACTTGTTGTGAGGTCATCTGATCTGTTTTATCTTCTTAGACTGGGGTTTGTTCTGCCCTACCCTGTGTTGTTTTTTGTTTGGTTTGTTTTTTTTTTTTATTTTATTATTAACTGGAGAATTTAGCAGGTCTTCCTCCCTCTGTCTTCTGGACCTCAGAGCAAGTATATGCATTATCCTTAGTATACTAAGAGATGCTTCCTCTACTTTTTCTCTGCTGGTCCATATATAAGCTATGCATCTTTATGTCAGTATTCCAGATCTATGTCTTACTACAACAAGCTCCAGTCATGCCAGTTAAATCATCACTTTTGTCTTAAATTAAATCTGATATCTTAAATAAGACCTAAATTCTGTATTAAAAGCAGTATGTTTCATTAGTTATCTAAGATACTCAGAGGTTTTAATCCTATTTCCTGGTCAATCTGTGAGTGTATTATCACCCCTTCTCTTTACACCTGTGTTTCTGTTTTTATTCTTTCCTCTGTTTTTGTCCCCTATGTGTGTTACCCTGAACCTAATTCAGACATCCCCCTCATTAAGCAGTGATGAGCCATTTCCTCCTTTCCTGAGCTGATGTTCATCACTATTCAGCCATTGGTATAAAATTACCCTGTTCATGAAGATGCTGGGGTCCTACTCAGAGCATCATGTGTGGCCTTGAAGTGTTGTCCCTGGCCCTGCTGGCACTTTCTTAGGGTCACCCCTGTCCATCTGGGAAGTACCATGCAGCCAGGGAGGTGGCAAAACAGTTTGGATCCAGCTTCTGGGCAGCAGCTTTTTGCCAGAGTCCGTTTATGCTTGTGCTCTTGGAGTTGTGGTTTCTTGCTACAGGCTCTTCTGCCTAACCCAAGCTTTGCATCCACATCTGCTGGAGCAGACATGCAGGCTGCAAACTGCAAGCTGTGGCCTTCTTCCAGCTTCCTGATGCACAGATCAGTGGTCAGGATCTGCTTCTACAAAAGAACTCCCCAACAGAAACAGGTCAATGAGACTTGACTCGTGTCAGCATTTTTCCTTGTTTCATAGATCCTAATGATCATAGAAAAGAACCCTTTCTCACTCTCTTGCTTGATAACCCCCAGCTCTCGCTACCTTCTGGCAGACTGGGTGCACCCTTTTCTGAATTGCAGGAAACTGGGGAATTCACCTGAGCAACACCTGTCCCTTGGGACTGGGTAGCCACCTCCCTTAGATGCTTCACCTGCAGGGTAGGTTTTGTCCATTGTAAGCCACCACTGCCAGTAAGAGGAGAGACCCCATTGCCTGTTCTCACCCTTTGTGTTTGCTGCTGCCCATCCCTCCTGCAGCTTGGTGGGAAGCTATGTCAGAAAAATGACCAGATTAAGGCTATCCCAGCCTGAAAACACTGTCATGGAGGAGGTCAGAGCTGCCTTCAGCAGTGGCATCCACCAGCTTCAGTGGCTGGCGAGACTCGTGTTGTGCTGTGCCCCTTCGGCAGTCCTTGGCATGGATTTGGTTGGAGCATCTGCTTCGCTTGGGTGCCAGGCAAGGCGCTGTCGCAGGAGCATCCTCACAGCTCATCGATTCCCTGTTTACCGAGGAGGTCAGGAGCTAATCGTGACCTTTTATTCCCTTGCTGAGAAGAGCAGCTGGTGCCCTCAAGTGGTAAATCATAGGAGAGCGGCTGCGGCCGTGCAAGCCCGGCTTTGGGCTCCTGTCCCAGGCAGGATAATGGGCAGAGGCTGCTGGATGCATGCTGTGTTTCTGGCAGTTCTAACCATGCCGTTTCTTCCTTGCAGGACTAGGCAGTGTGCTGACCGTGGTGGGAAGGAGACATCGTTCTCAGCGGAGTGGAGATCCTGACAACAAGCATACCTGGGCAGCCACAGACACTCCCCATCACTTCTTCCATCAACCTTCCTTTCTGTGAGGGTAGCTGCAGTGAGTTCACACCAAACATCCTGCCTTGACTGTGCTTTTGGTAGCTGGAGCCCAAAAAATCCATTCCTGTGAGATCTGATGGGGCTTGCTTTGGATCTGCAGCCCCACTCCAGCATGGCCTCAGGTGTTGCAGGGGGCTGCAGCAGGCAGCGGAGCCAAGGTCTGGGAAGCCGATCGGGTCCAGGGCTGCTTCTGTGAGGGGATGCACAGGGACAGCGATGCCCATCACGCAGGACAACGCAGGGGTCTACCTCCCCCTCCTGTGCCAGTGGCTGCAGAACAGCCGTCGGGAGGGGGCTGAGGGCGCCGAGCAGCAGCTCTGCCGCTCAGCTGTACAGAAGCTGAGTGAATACATCCAGCTCAACTTCTCTGTGGATGAGAGCAAACTGCAGCCAGGCAGCTGTGGCACTTCAGATACAGAGATCTGCACCATGTACCTGGCCCAGGAGATGCGGAAAAATGAAGTTCTTGGGTTGAGCTTTGGGAACATCCCCGCTCTGGGGGACTATGGGGAGAAACGTCGGGGAGGGAAGAAGAGGAAGGGGAATAAGGGACCAGTGCTTGATGTTGGGTGCATCTGGGTGACGGACTTGAAGAAAAACAGCCCAGCTGGGAAGTGTGGGAGAGTGCATCTTAAAGATGAAATCCTGTCTTTGAATGGCCAGCTGATGGTTGGCGTGGATGTCACCGGTGCGAGGTAAGGGTGGAAGAGCAGCCACCAGTGGCTGCCTCTCACAGTGTGTGGTGCAGGTTGTGGTTGGTACTGATTGATGTCTGAGAGCAGAGGTTTTGACCTCTGCTTTCCAGCCCCGAAGAGACCACTGGGTTTTTCCTAAGGTCTGTAGAAAATAAGTAACAAAAGCAAATCGATAACTAGCCTACACCTGCCCTTGGACATCCACTAGAAGATTTTGACAGGTCATTGTGTCAAAAAATAGTACCTGGTAAGCACTGGCGGGTGTCCACTGAAGGAGGAGTCCGCGTTTGGATAAAAATGCTTTTTTTTTTTAAGGGAAAAAGAACACAGACTCCGCAGCACTGGAAGATTTTTAGCGATGCATCTTAGTTGATCTTAGAGGATTTTTTGACAGTTAAATGTTGCCTCAGACTTTTTCAAAGCAAGACGATTTTGTGTTTTCCAGATTGGAACAACTTCATTTTAATAAATTCCCTTTGATTTTAGTTCACTTGCTCTCTTTTGCTGTCTCCTATCCCAGAAAACTTGAAACCTTTTAGAGTTCAGATCAGAAATGAAGGTTCTTGCAATGATAGAGATTGTTTCAGCTTCTATATTTCAGCTACTGCATGAAGTAGAATCAGTTATTGGACCAGCTTGTGGGCCAACAGACTTGCTCACACTTCCCTTTGCAAAGGCCTTTGCTAGACATGGGAATGCAAGTGTTCATTCATACCCAATATTGCAATGTATGGGAGGGCACGAAATCCTCTCCCTCTTGCCAGGGGGCATTCATCTTGGGGATGGACAGTTTTGGAGGCGAAGTGCTAGCTAAGTGGCCATTCTTTAAAAGGAGAATCTGTTGATCTGCAACCTGGATAATCCAGCATGTTTTATGGGCCTTTGGAGTAACATGCCATTTCAGACTAGCTGAGAAAGTGCTCAAGCGAGTGAGATTTGCAACAGGAGCAAATAACAAGCTTTAACTGAAATAAGCTGCATACTGAAAAAAAAAAGTTAAAAGAAGAGTTGAATCTTCACAGGTTCGTCCAGTGAAAATATAGCATTGATGGGAAGACTCAATGGTTATTTGTCTGCTGCTTTAGTTATTGGGTCTGTAAAGCCATAATGACCTTGGGGTGTAACAGTTGTAAGTTATAATCCTGCCAAGTACATGGCCTTTGCTCCCAACAGGCAGTGAATGCAGCAGTGATTTCGGGTGGCCATCGCTCCCAATTCTGCCAATTGGCAGAATAAAAGCAGTGATTCCTTGATCTGTGGGTGCTGGGCAGGTCAACCTGGCTGTGATTTTGCAGGTGTGATAACATCCCTCTGGAATTTCAAGCCGGTAATACAATGAGTGTATAAATATTGGTACTGTGGGAGTATCAGTCAATGGTACCCCCAAGTCTGAGAGGTTTTTTGGCAAAAAGCAGTTAGTTTGCTGTTTCCCCTTTGCAAGATGTGATTGTTCCTAAAATCCAAGGGAATTGCTTGCATGGCCAGCAGTGTTGTCTTATTATTAATGCAAAATGAAAGATAATACCCACTAGAGTCCAAAATGTTTAGATACCTGCTCTTTTTATCCTCCCCTGAAGGCTTCATTTTGGACTTGTTCTTTTTAGAAAGCTCTGTTATTAGACCAGCAGCTGTGACGGCTGCTAATGAGAACCAAGTGCTTCATTTTCCTTAGTTGAGAGGATTTTTTGGCCATTATGAAGTCGGAGTTTTGGTGGTGCGGGGCCAGTGTTGTTGTTTGTAAGATCCTGGTTTAGAATATGCTACATCTAATTTAGGCCAAAATTTAAGACATCTCTTAGTCAAAACCTGATTTATTTTCAGCATCCTAAGCATCCTTGCCTTACTAACTGCTGTCTGACAAGGTTGATGTTGATGGATGACCTTGAGTTTGGGACCTTGAGGATGCTCTCAGTTTGGAATGCCTGGTTTTGCCTTTCAGGGAACTGTTTCGTAGCTCCAGCCCCATGTTATAGAATCATAGAATTGTAGAATAGTTAGGGTTGGAAAGGACCTTAAGATCATCTAGTTCCAACCCCCCTGCCATGGGCAGGGACACCTCACACTAAACCAGGTCACCCAAGGCTCTGTCCAGCCTGGGCTTGAACACCACCAGGGATGGAGCATTCACAACTTCCCTGGGCACCCCATTCCAGTGCCTCACCACCCTCACAGTAAAGAACTTCCTCCTTATATCCAATCTAAACTTCCCCTGTTTAAGTGTTAACCCATTACCCCTTGTCCTGTCACTACATTCCCTGATGAAGAGTCCCTCCCTAGCATCCTTATAAGCCCCCTTCAGATACTGGAAGGCTGCTATGAGGTCTTCACGCAGCCTTCTCTTCTCCAGGCTGAACAGCCCCAACTTTCTCAGCCTATCTTCATATTAGCACATTGTTCATCTGATCTGCTTCAGGATGCTTTGAGAGTCCTTCAGTATATTTCTTCATGGGGGGCTCAGAAGCGATATAATTCTGTCTAGGTCTGTAATAAGCTGAAAGGCAACATCAGCTTGCCTTCTGGGAAGACTGTTTCAAAGTAGAAGCTTTCTTAGAGTATTTCCATATTGTTGCAAAGGTGGCAATAGCAGAACCCTTTTCTGTTGGCTCTTCAAGGCATTGGGGCAGGACAGCACACTGAATAGTAGCCCTGGCTTAATTTATGTCTGCCTAATTATTATCTGTCTGGCTATGAAACAATTCCAGGTCCACAAAGGGGTGTGAGTGCTGTGATTTGCAGTGTGATGTACTTCATATAGCCTGCACACAGTCAGTGAAATTAGCTCCTGTAGCATCAAGCTGGATTAGGCAAGCAAAATCACTGCTTACATGTTTATTTCTCAACTGCCACGTGTACCAGGGCAGCCCCATCTTGCCTGGTGAACGTGTTGTCTACACTGGGGCTTTAGGGAATCTCCTGATTTATCTCCATAACAGCGGGGAATTTGGCATGAGGGTCTCATGCCCTCTCTCACAACCCTGCAGAAGGGTTGACAGAAGTGTTCTTACATAACCTGGGCTTCACTTCACCTCATCTTCAACTCCATCCCACAACACAAACCTTCGCTGTTCCAAGGGGCTAAGCCAATACACCAGACAATGGGAGAAGACAGGTTAGGGGCACAGGATGCTTTCTGCTGGGTGTCCTATGGATGTGGCCAGCAGGAGCAGATAGCTGGAACTATAACAGTGTGGGTGTCCCTGGGCAGATTGTGCTCTTTCGGCACCTACCTGTTGTAGGTGCTCAGGTCGTGGGGCGGTGATGGGGTCAGACACAGCACACAAGAGCAGCACGCCGCATCTTGGAGGAGCCATCTGTGGTTATCAGTCATCTGTCTCTCCTTGCTAGGGAAGTGGAATCTGACTTCTTTAGAGAAAAGTTACTTCTTTAACTTCCACCTGATTGCCATGTAAACAGCAGAGACAGGCTGATTATTGCTGAGCTGGTTTCTTTTTCTTCTTTCTTTTCATTTAGAGGAACATTATGCAGTAATATAATCATCAAAGCTTTTTGCTTAACAGAGTATTATTACATTAGAGAGGAATGATGTGGGTGGTGGCAATTTTGGTGATGCTAGTGACTGAAGGAAAATTATCGCTCTCTTCAGAGTCAGCAAATCGTGTGTGTCTATCAAACAATTGCAGGGAAATGAGCTGTATTGGAGTACTGAATAAAGGTTAGTCACAACTCTGCATGTTTATTTATCTTCTGTCTATAAAACTGTATCTCAAAAACACATGGGTTATGTTCCCCCCAGACAACAACTTCCTATGTATTTTGGAACTACTCCTCTCATTTTGGTCTATTACTCATTTACTGGAGGGAGGCTGTTAGTATTCCTGCAGATGACAAATGAATCCTTCATTTCTTGAGCATGACTGAATGGGGCTTCATTGAGCAAGTCCTGGGAGGATAGCAGAAGAATTATTTTGTCATGAATATCATTCTGTTTGAAATATTTGATTACAAATTTCATCAAGCTTAGCTGCAGTGCTGGGACACAGATACCATGTACATCTAATCTTGGTGCTGAATAGATTTCCAAATTCAAACTGTTCCTGAAGAAAGCAGAGTAAGATACATTACAAGTGATGACAGTGTGGTATAAACACAAGATATTATTAAAATTTTGTCTTTTGAGGAAACCCAACCACTGCTTCAGAATATCATGTGCCTCATCACCAGAAATTACCAAACATCACCATGTGTGGGAATACAGTCTGGCTGGCTTCTTCTTAACCCACAACCTGGTGTTGCTTCCAGAAAACAGAGAAGTGTTTCAACAGCCATACCTTTGCACAGCATTTTCTTAGTCTCTCCTCTTTAGCCTGTGTCCTGGGGGAGCTGCTAGGACTCCTCCCCAGCACAAGATATGGCATGCCAAATGTTAGGGAAATTGGTTTATTTTCAAAGACTCTGAGAAAGACCTTCAGAAATCAGATGTGCAGTTGTGAGTGAGCTTCAAGTGCCGCTACTGAAGGTGAAGCTTTGACCCTACCTTTTGAAATCGGGGTTTCCAGCAAAGCCAGGATCTTTTCTAAGTGCTTGCTGTTACTGCATGTCACATCTACATGCTCCAGGATAGTTGGAATTAGGAAGGTAATGTCCTGGTTTTCCTAACAGGTCAATCCTATTTGTATTTGTGTGATACATAGACATTCTAAACACAGACCTGCTTCTCTGTCAGCGCTAGCAGCTGATTACAGAGCACAATACTGAACATGTAACTAAATTACAGGTCTCAAGACATGCAAAGCACTTCATGCTGCTTGCTTGTGGCAGTCAATAACAATCCTGGGCTCAGCTGGATGAAATCTTAAGTCTCTGTATCAAAACAGTCCTTGCTGGAGCTGGAAAGCCAATATTCAGTGCCTGGCTGTATTCAGAGCCAAATTCTACTCTGAACAGTGGTGGTCTTCAGGGGAGTGCTCTTCTTCTTTGCCCCCTTGTTGGAAGCCCTGCATGCAAGATGATTCAGAGTGGTACATCTGCTGAGGGGATGG